CCTGTTGTCAACCAGGACTCCCAAATCCCTCTCCGCGGAGCTGCTTTCCAGCAGGTCAACCCCTAATCTGTGCTGGTGCCTGGGGTTATTCCTCCCCAGGTGAAGGACCCTGCTGCACTTCATTGAACCTTGTTGAACCTAAATGATTTCTATCAGATAGTGCTGCTTCTTAATATAATCCAAAAATTCAGGGACATTCTGGTTGTAATGCAAACACAGAACAGCCTTTCAGGCACAGACAATAAATTATTTCAAAATTATCTAAAGCAGAAAGTTATTATGATTCCACAATGGTAATTTGATATTTACTACAGCACACTGGGGGCAGCAAAGGATCTGAATTTAGCTCCCATGAAGCTATCTAGGCAGTTTGGTGCTTTAAGCCCCCTTCTTTCTTTTTCTTCATACCATGGTTTGTAAATAAAGTGTTCAAACTCGTAGCATTCCAAACTTGCAAGGACAACTCCCCAGTGTTGCCACAGAACTGTACGCAGAAAACTAATGCAGAAATTCATAGAAAGTCTTTAGAAGGAGATCAAAGTATCTAGTGCAGATCCAGCAGCTGTATTATTTGATGTATCTAATAGTTCCTTAAATGCCTATTTTGGTATTCTAACAAAAATTGAATATGAACTTAATGAACGAATAGCTGTAGCGTTGCTTGTTGAACTTTGCAGGGATTTAAATCATGTTCAGTAACAATAGGCATGGCAATAGATCCGGTCGTAGAATTAACACTAAAAGATGGGAGAGTCAGCACGAAATTAAAAAAATGTATGCACATCACTTCAATTAAGAGGAAATATAAACCAGAGTGGTTTTAACAGACTGACTAAAAAATCCAAAAGGATACACTTGTAGAGGAGTAATACAGTATAGTAAGGAATAACAGAATTGATTTATTGAAAATAAAGTTTAGAATAAACATTGCAGAAGACATACATGCTAAGGGTGGAAATTTCATTGTTTAAGATGGTTAAAATTAGGTCCTTAGAAAGAACCATAACATGTATAATAAAAAGTGAAAATCTGTATTACCTCGTGATCCAATAAAGTGCCTATTTTCAATTGCTTGTTCAAAAGACATTGCATAATCTAATAATCAATAGTTTATTCCATCAGAACTACAAATTTAATAATGAAATTGTATTAGCGCATAAATATTACTATCTCAAAACAGTAAACCTCTGGGCTGTATGCAAATATTAGTGAAAAACGGCTGACTACACAGCTTTTGATGGTGTAGGAAGATTTACACAGTCTTATCTTTTTGTGTCTATTTATTTCCTTACCTTTATGATCTCTGATTTAAAAAATAAACTCTCTGGGAGATATTCTATGTTAGTTCTACACACTGTGTAGCTGTGGCTAACCAGAAACCATCTATTAAGCTAAATGTGGAGTTTTAACAAAAAAAAATCATTGGTGACAGATAATATTCACAAGGCACAAGGAACCCTTTCTTGGCTAAATATTTTTAAACAGACCTATTAACATAGACCTATAATACCTAGATGCTATACCTAATCCCTAATGCTGTGGCATCTTTGTAGCCAGCCAGAGAGAGAAGGAATATGAGCTCTAAAAAATGAGGAGGTGAAAAAATTACCAAAGAAAAATCCAAATATTGCCAAACTTGCATAACAGCCTAAACACTTTGGCTGTTATATGTTTATTCTAAACATGTCACCTTATTTTGATTAATGTGAGTCACGGATCAGAACAGAATACTTTAAAATGAATCTTAGCTTCTACTCCTCTGCTTTGGTCTTACAGATGCCGCAAGTTAATCTTCTTGTCAAATTAAAACATTAAAGAGATGGTTGTCCTTCATTTCCAAAATGAAACTGAAACTGTATAAGCTTTAAGAGGTGACAGTCTGTGTCATGCCCCTAATATACAGGCTAAAATAGACTAGTGTGAAAAAATAAACAGAAAAGCAGAACAAGTTCTCCTGACCCACAAGCTGGCATTTGAACACCTCCAGGAAAAAATGACTTACAAAACTTGAAGGGTATACTCCTCTCTCATACCACTACTTAATCTGTAATTAAGTGTAATCTGAAAAAAACAGTAATTATATAAGATATTAACAGTAGATATATGCTACATAATATGTACCAAAAGCCCTGAACCACACTTTGGTGTTAGTTTAATTGACCAGTAAGTGACTATTTACAGTTTAAATGAAAGCAACACATGGTTTAATTTATTCAGTTTACATTTCTAGAAAAATCAAAATAAAGATTAAATTTAAAGAAAAACTGAAATGTTTCAAAAAGTATTGTCAAATAAATGTCAAAAATCCTTAAATGTGACATTCGCAGATGTTCCCTATGAAAGGATCAAATTATGAGACAGGATTAAACCATTTTGGGGGGAAAAATAAAAGGGACAAGTATAATTTCTATCTTAAGGTAAAAAGATCCATCTACATAAATGTGGATTTTTTTTTAAAAAAAAAGACAATTAGCAGCAGCTCTTGAAAGAAAAGAAAAGAATTTATAGTTATAGTGAATAATAAAAACTGTTGCAAAAAATAGCATAAACAGGAATAACTTTGTAGGTCTTTGGATAACTGCTACACTCCAGGGCATGCAAGTAAATTCACAGCTGAGACAGTGCTTAGTCTTGAGCACTGGCCATCAAAGAATTTGGGGACCATTTGGAGAAAGCCCAAGTGAACCAGGAAGGATACAGCTAATCTCCTTCCTATAAAACATGACCCATGAAGAAAGTCTGGAGGAACTAAAGTTGTGTAAAGACAAGAGAAAAGTTGCGTAAACAAGAGAACAAGAGAAAAAATACATATGACAAACATGACTGCAGCCTCAAATACAGAAGAGATAATCAAGAGGAATAAAGGAAAGTTTCCCCTTTCTGCAGTAGACTTGAGAAGGAGATTTTGATTAGGGAGGAAAAGTTTCTTAATGATAAGCATCAGAAGAGACTGTAGAACAGGGCGGGGTGACAGGGACCTTAAGGTAAGATGTAGCTGATTAATGGCTGATCAAGGTCTGGATAGAGGGAGAAAAATTTCAGTCTTCTGATCCATACTTCCATACCTCTTATTGAGTGAAAAGCATTGAATTAACACGCACAGCTAACTCAAGAATTGCAATTGCCACATTTTCAAAATTCCGACTGCTGCATTTACAGCTGTACCTGTATTGTAATACCATAAAGCTGTGCAGGTGACAGGGGCACAGTGTTGCCATTCCTCCAGCTTCACATCCTGCGGTACTCATTTTGTCAGGTGTTACTCATATAGGTGAAGTATGGGAAACACAGCGGGACTGTGTCACCAAATAAACACAAACAGAAGGGCTAATAAAACCGTCCTCGCCTACACAGTACCATGGTGCCATTAACAATAATAATTCACTGTACTGCCTGACCTAGAAACAGCCTTGGTCTCTCCCATCCTTCACCCTCAATGGCCTTATACCTCCTCTAACTTCTGCCTCCTGAGGATCCAGTATCCCAAATGCCAGAGCTCCTCTACCCTCTCCACAGGGTCACCAACTGCAGCCATGCACGTAAAGCAAATGGTGCCAGTTTTCTCTGGAAACATGTTCCAGAGCCAAAATTCAATGGCTGAATTTTTATACAGTTAAGTTGTTAAAAGGCCTTCTGTAACAATTGTGGCCAGCTGGTCTTTGCTCTCCTGAGCAACCTATGCTCGGTTTGGGTATCCATGTGGGGCAAATATCATTCCTAAGAGGTAATTTAAACACTGGGGAGGAAAAGAGAGTTTAGCAGTGTGGACTTGGGTCATCTCATGTCAACTGGGCTCAGTTGCAGTTCTGGCTGCAGTTCTGTCTCCAGCAGCTAGGAGCTCTCTACTCATAGAAACAGTGTCAAACACTGATACAATAATCTGAATAAAATCAGGGTATCTTTTAGGCATAAAAATGCTAAAGAAGCAAATACAGGAACGCAATGCGTCCGGTTCATTAAATCAATTACATATATTTCTGATAAAAAAGAAAAAAATATATATTCTTAAAGCTTAAGATCTGACTTGAACAAAGCCAGACATTTGAGTTAAAACTAATATTTCATAAACACAATCATGCTTTTCACTTTAAGAAATAGTTTGAGTTAAGAATGAAATGGTAATATTCACTCCACATTTCCTTAGGATTTTGTTGCTTTAAGTCCAGTGCTTTTACTTCACATAAGGTTCCTTGTGTTTAATTGTAGTATGACTGTTTACTCAAGTGGCAGCAGCATACTCTGTGATAAATTAAGTGAACATTTTTCAAAGGTAACTTGACAGTTTTAAATGTTAAATGTAAGCCTGGTAAGACAAGTACAAATATTTTCTACCTGGAACTTATATAATGAAATCACTGGATAGATATTTTAATTAATTTTTGCACAATAAACAATGTTTGCATATGAATTATTGAAAAACATTTCCTGAGGGAGGAAGATACGAAATGGCATGCAATATATTTTTACAGAGTATTTACATATAAATAAAATTGAGAATGCTTCTTCCTGTTCCACAAAGGCAAGAAAGAGACAAATACTCTTTAGAAACATAAATCCTGACATCAACGTTTGAAGTTAACTTAAAAGTACAACATCAACAGAGTTCCACCAGAGGCATAATGCTAGAGCAGGGGAGGGTTCATTCCTGTAACTCACTTTATTCTTCATACACTGACTTATGAATAAATAACACAAAAGACTAGCCAGAGAGTCTGAGGGAATTTTGAGAAAGCCTAAAATATGAACACGTATGGCAGTGCTAAACTCAAAAAGAATGGATATATGGTGGTAATAAAATAGCTAATAAAATCTCATTTCTTAGATCCACCTAGTCTTCATATCTTAATAACTGTATTTCTTAAGGAAACAAGTTGGTAAAAAGGCTGCAGAAAGGATAAGAGCATCATCCTATATGCCTGCTCACTAACCCTTTACCTTTTAAGCCACTGAAAAATTTGCACACTTAAAATGTTAATAAAAAATGAAAGGATTTTACTCACAGTTAAAACCAGGTTCAATTTGTTTTCCAGCTTCAAGACTGTTTATTGTAATTTGAAAGATGATGTGCAGCAGCAAAAATGACAGACTGGTGAAACACAGAGATTTTAATAATCGTCCTGTATGCCCTATAAAACAAAATAGCAAGAGAGATACAGTTAGTGTAATTCTAAACATTGCCTCCAGGTTTTCAGGTTAAAAACAGTGATGAGCAATATTTCTACCACTGGTCGTTTCCATGTTACTCATCATCGCCTCTTCAGGGGAAATGAGTATTTCTCTTTGATTGCAAAGGACATTGATGGTTATTACTGGTACTATATTTTCCTTCAACTTAATACCAAAAAAAAGTTTCCTGAGTCTCCCGATGGCAATTTTACATCAAGAATAACATCAGTATGCGTGTCACTATGTTACTTGATACAAAGACCAAGTAAGGCCAGTATTTCCAACCTTGAGAAAATGAAAATCTATTCAATTAATTACTGATTCCATAACATGTGAGAAGGCACAACAACACAAAACCGTGGTTCAACTCTGGAGCATAGACGTGCTTTCAAATGAATGCTTTGCTTTGTGCACACTGCCCTGTTTCTTGCCCTTTAGTAGTTTTTCAAAAATAATTTTCAGTACACACTGTAGGAAAGATTGTGCCAGATACATTTGGTCATAGATTCTTTAAGATTTACCGGACATCTATAGCCAAAAGCCAATAGAAAATGTTTGCAGGAGACTTTGAAAATGCCTTATAAATCCTTAGGAAAGACTCAGCTTCATCACAAGCAGCCAAATTTGCAAGCTATGAATAAATAAAGTGAACCATTAGTACTTCAGAAAATATTCATCTTTAAGACTAGGTTGTCTTGCTAATAAAAGACAGCATTAAATATCACCTTATTTGACCTGTTTACAACAGAAGTTCTATTTCTGAAATATTTCATACCACCTGCTGCATGCATTTGAGGGTAATTTTTTTATATACACAAATTGAGAAAGAAAACTACCTGAATTCTTCCCCAAAGACTGCAAGCAAAGCCAAAGCTAGAGAAGGCAGAGCCGGCAGAGTGTGCCTGGGACAAGTTCATTCTATGCACATCCTGTTTTCTTCATACCTTTCCTCTCTGTGTTGGTTATGAGCTAGTGCTAGAGTGAGGGTGATGGCCAAGCAACTGAGTGGCTCCAAAACCTCATGGGAGGGTGTCCCGGCAGTCTATCTGACAGGCCTCACGGGCTGAGAGAGAAGCACTGCCTCCGGGGCAGTCGAATATTCTGCATCAGGAACGGTCTCCTTGCTCACCCGTCGTGAAAGTCCTTTTGAATTTGGTAAGCAGGTTGTAGCCACTTGCACTTCAGGCAAAGACACAACAGCCCTGGAATATGGAGAACTAAAGCAGTACTGGAAATGTCTTAGGTTAGGGGGATTTTTGTGACCACCACAGTGCATGTGCCAAGCAGGATGCCACTTCGCAGTGTTGCCTTTAGTCATTCTTACACATGAAATCTTAAATGCTTCGGGAATTGATTATCACTTATTCATCTACCTAAGGTAACTGCAGTATGAGCTTAACTGGAACATTGAGACATGCTTGGATGCTTATATATCCAAGCTTTAGGTATTTTTAAACATGATAAAGTATATATAAAATACAAATTGCTTTCCTTTGTTTGATACCAGTAACTGGGAAGGGAGTGTGGTCGATTTGATAATTATATCAATCACATTGATTTTATGAGTTTTGGGTCAGGTCTACTTCAGAAGGAAAGAAAAACTCTGTGATAAAAAGAAAAAAAGAAAAAAAAATGACCTCTTCCTCTTCCCCAGATTGGCAAAATGATGGCTACAAGACTGGAGATCAGAGCAAACAATGCCTACCTAGGACTATATACCAACATAAATGTTATTCATGAGGCAATAAAATATGGTATCTATTCTGCACCTAGCCAGGAGACAACTTTCTGCTTTATACTCATTACAGTTTAATCATATCCTCATGTCCAGGTGGCAGTTTTTAAAACTCAGAATCATATAAATATGATCTAGAAAATTTAGAAAAAGAGAAAGCCTTTCTATCTCACTCCAACAGAGTCAAAATTTGTTACTTGAGCACTATCTTGACAATGCAAAATTCATTACCAAATGACTCTAATGAACTTGTTATTAGCATTATTACTCTCACTATTTTTATAACTTAATAAAAAGAGCGATTAAACTACTCAAACAACATGAAAAATGGAATGGTTGAGTCTGTGAATGAATTTCTGTGAACTAGAAAGGAAGTGACATTCACTAAGTGCAAGATTTGTACGACCTCCTCTCTAGACCTAACAGGTAAGGCCTTGCAGTGGACAGAAACTAGACAACATCAGCTGCCAGCCACTGAAAAACAAAGAATAGATTTTAAATACTTTTGGCTGTAAAGCCATTTTCTTTCTCCACTTATATAGAAGATGGTCCACTGGCCTGACTTAGAACAAGGACTTCTAAGCACTATAAAAGCATAAGGAACAAAACAGCTAATATTTTCCACCAGTTGCCCCCCCCCAAAGAAAAAGCAATACAATTAGCAAACCGTCTTCATTAAAAAAAAAACTACATTGGGTCCACCTTTTAGTATCCCAAATGTCATTTCTTTCCAAAATATACCTTGATTTTAAACTTTATATTTTAAAGCTTAAAAACAAATACACTTGAATTGTACATCGAACAAAGACTTCTTTAATGAAGTCTTAACTTTTGCAACTGTCTGTCTTTTAAGAACTGCAGAAAATGTTGAAACAATATCCATTTTGCACAAAACTAGGGAGAGTTTTAAAGGTCTCCTAACACTCATGTTGATATATAAAACCACAATGTGCTCCTAAATGCAGCAGAAGAAATAGGTCCATAGCCTGCAGCTGGAGGATGTTCAGCGCAGGTTACAGGATCCCTCAGGGGTGACTCTTCGTGGTCGTTGGTGAGACAGAAACAGCCTCAAACCCCGCTGAGCTGCAGTTGTTTGCATGTCCTGTTCTCTGTGGCGCCATCAGAAACTAGACACCAGAAGTCTTTGGAGAAAAATAAGAAATACTATGCCCCTGATTTCAAAAGTTCTGGAGAAATGTCAACAAGTTGGGAGAAATGTTGAGTTCTAAAAAAATCAGTGAATTACTGGATGTGTAATTTATGCCAAGGAAGAAGTGACAGATTTGGATAAGGGATGAGTTTCAATTTATAGTGGGGTTTGGATAAGCCCATTTGACTGTATTTTAACTTACATTTTTCTTTCTAGTGGAAACTTAGTTCTAAATTACTCATAGGCAAAATTAACTGCATGTGTACAGGACCAAGCTCGTGAGAAAAGAGACAGCTGAAATTAAACTCTGAAATTATAAAAAGAACTTTTTAAGAATGAGTAAAAAAGATTTGTATCCTACTTTAGCTAATATTTATCTCAACTGGTTGGTGTATCTGTTCAAACACATCCTAACTGTTTGATTGCCCTGATGCCGTTGCAGGTGAAAATCCAGTTGACATGAGTATGAGCTGCCAGGCCCTCAGATAAAACACACATTTTTCAGAAACTATCACAGAGAGAAACAAAACACGAGAGAGCAAATGTTCACACAGATCCAAGGAGACCTCTGATCACTTCCTTTTTGCCTTTCATGCATAGATGTGGGTGTCCCTCTCGCCAGCCCACCTTGATGTGGAGACTCGCTTGAAGAGAAAACGCCATCATGACTATTAAAGAAGAATCTTCTCAGGACCATGCGGTGAAGAAAATGCAATGAATCTACCAAACCAGCAGCAAAACATGTGGATTCATAACTTCAGGGACAGGTGCTGCTATTCCCAGCCCTGTGTGGAGCACTTCCACAGGCCCCAGCAGGTCATCAGAGGGAGGGAGGAGGTCTGCCACAGCGCAGCGGCTATGCTCTCAGGATGGCTGTGCCATTTCTGAGGGGTTTCATCGGGGATAAAACCTGGGATGCATCCTGGCATGTCCAGGAAACACACTCTGGCAAGTTCTGAAGAAGGCTTTAGGGTAAAAGAGCCTTTTCCCCTGCAACCAGTGCTGCAGAAGATGTTCTGGATGCCAAGGCTTCATTTTCTCCTTGCTCTCCAGGCCAGCTGCAACAGTAAACTGGATTAAGGAGGGCCAAAACCTTTTCACACATGGTAGAGGAATCCATTTCTTATTTTTCAAAGGTAATCCAGCCAAGAGCTGGATTAGTGATGGCATGTCCCCCCAGCCACAGGCACGTAACCTCCACATAAGCAGCGGTTTGAATGTGCCCAGCTAGGACTGCTCCCTCCGGCAAACACGCACAGCTCCTGCCTTCTGCACCAAGCCCGCAGGCAAAGCGGGGGACCCACTGCTCCGAGCACGTCACACCACTTCCCACGCAAAATCATGTGGGGATTTTAAAATCTACTTTTTTTTTTTTTTTTTGGTGCTTGTGGAACTTTTTAAGGGCTGCTTTCAAAAGAGAGAGCTGATGACAAATGGAAAAAATAATGGCCAAGTCACCACAACCTGCTTAAGGACCCCATATATTAGCTTTGACAATATCTGTCGAACATCTTTAGGGTCTTCAGGAAAGACAACAATGTTAGAGAGGGAACATTCCCATTGCTTATGGGATGCATTTTCATTCTATGCAATTTCTTCTCTTCCTGTTCCATTGCATGGGATGCAAGAGAAGATGAGCCAAGCCTCATAGGGTGCAAGAGAGAGCCACTTAACAATACTTTTACAAAAATATTGTGATTTTTAATTAAGAAGTATTCAGCATATATACACAGAAATAAGAAAGGTAATAAGAAAGTTCAAAGAATCAGTGCCTTTCTTCACACTGCAGTGACACCAGGAAAGAGAAAACAAAGGAGGGAAATGATGGATTTTTAAAACTAATTTAATGTAGCTTGCAATTCAGGCAGCATAATTCCTTCATCAATCATACAGATGCTGCATGGTGTCACTAAAGAATAAATATGAGTGCCTTTGGGAGTCTTATTTGAAATTTTTATTACTTTGCACTTGGACTTTTATAAATATATAAATTATTATAGAACAATTTAGTACTGAATTTTCTAATTTTAGTTGTTTCTCACAATAAATAAGCCTGTCTGCTCAACACATGGGGT